TCACAGTACTCTACAAATATTTTACATTATATTTCATTTTCAGCAAACCAAACGTAGGGTCTGTTTGGCGCAGCTGTTGATTATTTATAATCTGTGCTGATAAGCAGATTATTCTGCAGATTATTCTGATAATCTGGCTTGTTGTTTGGGGCAGCTTATTCAGAATAGTTTATTGGTGAAACAGAAGCATATAGTGCAAAAGCATACCATCATCACAGATCAGTTCCAAAAGATGACATAGAGTTCTCACACTCTCGTGAGTACCAGAAGAAACAAAAATTGTACAAAGATAAGTATAACTACAATGAGAAATATTAAAATATTTAATTTCAAACTCTGGCTACGTCTGTCCTCATCTGCACTATCAACCTGAGAAAACATCAGATTCCCATGACTGCTGGCAGTGTAATATGTGGGACTGTAAGCCCACCGGAAGAAGCCGCAACAAGCAGAAACACCCTTAGCGCAACCGTAGAACTATCTCCCAAAGCTATTAGGCTGACGCGACGTGAGCAAAGGAATTATGTGGTTCGGTCAAAGACCTACATCCACAGTAAGACACTGAATATGTTTTATTATGAAATTGTGTAAGGTTACATAGCATATGCTTTTCATATATATAGCAATGATTCTCGATAGACATCTACATTTGAAACAAATAGTGTGAAAATAAAGCAATACACATCAAATTTGATGTAAAATATTTACATATTGTGTAAAATTTGATGTAAATTTTGTTTTTCAATCTCTCATGCAAACACTGTTTCACATATGAGCATTGTATCTCATCTCATAGGAAGTGCCAAAATTAATAACCAAATCTCTAAACACCAATAGCCCAAGTAGGAACCCAATACTATAATAACCTCGGCAGCAAGAAGAAAAACAACCCAATTAAGAACAGCAGCAGTAGTTTCATGTCCGGCAACAAGCATAGTCATTCTAGATAGTATCCAATGTAACTAAACAATTCTAGATAGTATCCAAAAGAATAGGACCAAAAGAATAGGAGCAACATTCTATATAAACCGTGCACCTAAACAATTCAAACAAATGCATAAAAACAATTCCAACAAAACTAGATAGTATCCAATAGAACTAGTAGTATCCAACAAGTATTCAAACAAATGCCCCTAAATCGTGACCATAAACAATTCCAATTCCAATTCCAACAGGTGCAGCTAAAATGGCTTATCAATTGCTGAACAATTTCAATTCCAACAGGTGCAGCTAAAAAATTCCATAAGTTAGAAAATTCCAGCAGTTTGAAATGAGCTAAACAATATAAAAGGTGCAACTAAAAAAATCCAGCAGTTCGAACTGTATAACGATTCCCCCTGCATTCATTCCTTCAAAAACAATATAAAAGGCTTATCAAACAATTCCAACAGTATAATGATTCCCACTGCATTCCTTCAAGAACAATATAAAAGGGACGCATTGAAGCACATTCCAACAGTATTATACGATTCTCACTTTTCGAACCAAAATTTTGCATAAAGGAACAGAGACGGGAAGAACAAAGATTCCCACATTGCGAACCAAAATTTCCCCCATTGCTCATCTGCATTTCTCAAGAAAACCATAAAAAAAAACGCAGAAAAAACTCAGAAGAAAACCTCATATCCATTTCCATCAACGTTTTTTTTAACCATAATCCAGCAAAGGCATCCTAAAGACAACCCTAAAGAAAACCAATTTTTGCAAAGAAACTAAAGATAACCAAATAGAGGCACATATAGATCGAACAACGAAGGAGAAGACCGAATCTTGCAAATAAAAACCAACCAGAGAAGATCGAACAACCAGAAGATCGAACAACCAGCGAACAACCAGAAAGCATTGCGGCATATAGATCTCACCATAAGAGTCAATGTTTACGAAGGAGAAAATCGGGAAAGGAGATGGCGAGGGAGAGCGCGAGAGAGATATCGCAGTGGCAGGGGAGGAATAAAACTCTAACAAACGCCGAACGCAAGAGGAGCCCCGCGTGCGATGTGTAGATGAAAAAAATGTATGTGATTATTGTCGTTTTAAAAACGCCCTTCCGAACGCTTTAAGCAAACACCAAGGCGGCCTTTTCAAAACCAGCCGCACTTAAATAAGCTGCCCAAAAGGGCACTTAATGACTTGATCACCAATTGTTACAACCTCTCCACTAGATCTACTACTACAAAAATTATATTTCATGTCTTTAGTTTTAGATCTACTACTCAATCAAAATCTTTTAGATTCTAAAGTTCTCCATAAATCAAGTTTTTCCTAAACTCTCTCTAGTATTATTCACGAGAAGGATATCTGCAAAGAACATATGCCAAGGCATATCCTCCTGTAACTGTCCAATAAGAACATCTATAACAAAAGCAAAAGGATATGAACTTAAAGTCGATCCCTGATGTAATCCAATTAAAATAAAAAATACTTGTTCAATTCTTATCTTCAAATACAAGTAACAACTCTAGTATAAATATATTTAATTTCTTAAATATAAGCAATATCAATACCTTTCTTTTCTAGAACTCTCCAAAGTACTTCTCTTGGAACCTTATAATAAGTTTTTTTTTCAAATTCAACAAAAATCATATGCAAATCATCCTTACTCTCTTTGCACCTCTCTATCAAATCTCTTAATAAATATATAACTTCTATGGTAGACTTCCTTGAAATGAATCCAAACTTATTTTGACAAAATTTTGTATTAATTTGTAACCTATTTCAATTATTCTCTCCCATAACTAATGTATCACACATTACCTTAATTTCTCTATTATTTGCACACTATTGTGCATCTCCTTTATTCTTGAAAAAATGAATCGATAGATTTTTTCTCTGCTCATCAGGCGTCATTTTAGTTTTTAGAATAATATTAAAAAGTTTAATAAGCCTCCTCAACTTTTATTTTACTAATGCGACGATGAAAATACAAAATTTTGTTATTATTTACAATATTAAGATCATTAAGATCAGTCGTATTTTAACAATCTTCATTAAAAAATTATCAAAATGTCTCACCTATCTATTTTGAATATTCTTATCTAAGAAAAATGTTTTTTGGTTTTCATCAATTAATATATTTAACTTGAACTAAATCTTTACTTTTCATATCAGTTCGCTTGGTAGGTTTATATGTATATTTTTTATCATCTTTAGTATCTAAGCTCTTATTAAAATTATTAAAAGCATAAAATAAAAAATATAATGAATGCATTTGAACATTGCTTGATATAATGATTAAATGCATTATCAATAGTAATTTTGTTTCTTTACGACAAATGTTGCATCTGCTATTTATAAGTATATTATTTTCTTATTATTCGAGTATCAACTATGTTTATTTATTACTATTATTATTACTCATGTTGGTCAACTACCAGCATCAAGGTACCTTTTATTTTTATATTTGAATCTTATTTTAGCAAGATTTATCTCACTTAGAATACAATCTATCAGATATTACTATATTAGTTTTCATAAGAAATTAGCAGATTAATCTGTAGCCCAATGCCTTGCTCTTTCTATAGCTTTAAAATATAAAAAGTTTTAAAATTAAAAAAAAACTTTTGTGGTACGTATAATTTCATGATTAATTTTTTTGTAAAAGCTCTGTATTTTATTTTAGGATCATTTATGCACAGTTTTGATTTTTGTTTAATATTAAATAATTGTTTCAGGAATTGAAATATAAGAATTTATCTATGTCATTTAAATAAGGTTAATTCTCTATTCATTTGATCTTGATGAAACAAGTCATGATGGGTGTCGATAAAAATTGAGTCGGACAAAGTCGTCTCCTCCCTCAGATTGATATGAGGGTGCAGACTAATTGGGGTGTGACACCTACATTTTATATGGAAGCATTTAATAAAAGTAAATACGATGAACAAGCAAAATAATCATAAAGCAACTGAGTAAAGCAAGAAGGCATAAAGATTACACGGTTCAATCAAAACAATAGCAGTCATCTAAAGGATGGAAGAGAACAACTTATCAACTTTATAGTAAGCCGCACGTGTTAAAAAAGGACAAGAATATACTCTTCTCAAAGCCCAAATAAAGTAATCCTCACCATAAAGAGAAGCCATATATCCATCTACTAGGCTAAACACAGGACAAGCATACAAGAAAAAGATGGAATGCTAAATATAGGAGCTATAAATCATACAAAAATATAGCTACTTCATGGATGCTCAAAACATCAGCACCACACTTTCTATGAAACATGTATGTTTATTCTCGTACCACACTATACTAGCACAAGGCCAAGAATATCAAACGATAATCACAATAAAATGAGCCAAGTGTGTTTTTTTTTTTAATCTCCTCTTCTATCTCAATGTTTTCTTCTCTATGACCTTGTCTCACTTTTCTTCTCTCTCTGCCCCTAGTTTCTGTTTTGTCTCTATTAACCAAACTTTGCTCTGAAACCCATCATCCAATTCGAGTGCCCATAATAAACAGGACTCCTTTCCACCATTTCCATTTCCTTGGCTAAAAAAAGCACTAATGGAATTTAACCCCACCTATTTCTGATGGCACATCTACTGAGTTTGTTGCACTTTATATAATAATAAGAGTTTAAAATAAGGGAGGATATGGACTTTAACTCTACATCAACATAAAAATTTTCATTTAAAGTTAATCCAGATAAATTTGAAATTGTCACAAAATCTAGAGAATATTCTGGTACAAAAATAAAATGCAATTTGTTTTTACCTTGAATTCCTCATTTTAAATGTTGTGCTTATCTTGACCACAAAATTATCAAGCTAATACTCTAACAACTATTCACATAACTAGAGAATCATTTTATCGTAAACAGTTGTGATAAAAGTGATGAAGATAGCCACAATAAAAGTATTAAATGTCAAGATAATTAAAAGAAATAGCCTTCTGTTTCATAAAAGGAAAAGTAGCAACAGCTGGTTTTGAAAAAGACACGAGCTAGAAGCTCAAGGGAAAAGGCACCGCTTAATTTCCATGCATGGTAAAATTTAACATACCAGTGAAACAGCAGACACAAGGTCATACATCATGATTCCAGCATCAGCAATAGCAAGGCTTGCGCAACTTATAATGACAGGAAGATCACCTATAAAATAACACCGGAAGATGACTAAATTAGTCTTTGTGCCATAAAAAATTATAATCCTACTGCAGAAAGTGTTAACATAAGGGAGTTACTCGAATAACAATACTCAGATACACAATTAAACAACGACAACAATTAGCCCTTAAAGTCTAATCCCAGAGAAGATTACTACAATCGCAAAAAGGCATTTAAGAATTCATCACTTTTTAAGTTATCCGACGTTAAAATTTGTTTTCCAAAAAAATGCAGTGCTTGCCAAAAAAAATAATAATAAAATAAGCATAACTTGCAATAGTTGATACTAGAAAAGTTAATTCCCCAAAGGGTAGGACATAAAAATACTCTTATCCTTTTTCCAGTTATAAAGTGCATTTTGCAGAAAATTCAGGGCCAGTAAAATAAATGATAAAAATTTATAAAACTTGCAATAGTTCGTATTAAAATATCAGTTCCTAAATAAAAGGGGGCAATTTGGTTGGAGGAATTTTGAGTGTATTATATTCAAATACATGAGTTTTATTTGGTTGGAAGGATTTTGGATGTTTTGCATTTCAAATACACGAGTTTTGAGTTTTTTAATATTTGGTTTGAAGTGAATAAAATTTGTTGTTGTTGTTTTAAGCGATTTGAAACTCATTATTTAATTCAATTTTGAGAAATTTAAAATTCAACCCAATCAAACAAATTCTAAATTCCCTGCATTTCATGAAATGCTCCCATTGTAAAGAATCATCCTTGATCATCCCTATGGCATCGATCCTGCTAGACGCGGGGTGTATGTGCTGAACTGATCAGTTCGGCCAAGGAGAGTCAGTTCAGTAGGGAGGCTAGACCGGTCAGCCAGCTAATGAGTGGGAATTGACCACCCCACCCCTCGGCCAATAAAAAAAAAATCCCCCTCCTATCTACCGAATATAAATATGTCGTTTGTTGAGTTAGGGTTTATTCTTAGTTTTCTGATTTCAGATTTCTACCTCCAAGCGTATTTGCTTGCTATGGCTGTATCCGATGTCAGGTGGTGCTTCGGCTGTATTCTGCTCCGAGGTGGTGACAACCTTTACCTACTTCCCCCACGCAATCTTGCGTCTAGCCATTGTCCTTTAGCCAGCGCCAGCCCTTCCAGCTTTCAGCCACTGGCCTGCTACCACCCTCCTCACTTCTAGCTTTCAATCATTGGCCTGCTACCACCCTCCTCCCTTCCAGCTTCCAGCCACCGTCCTGTTATCCTCCTTGTTCCCTCATGTTCCTAGATGTCGCCACACTTATTTCCCATCGCCAACCTTCCTACCACCTTCTTCCACCCACCATCATCCACCAGCCATCACTAGCACTCCTCTTCTCCCTGTCCACAATCGCCAACCACCCAGTCTTCCTATTTCCACCCGTCCACCACCATCCCTTCCCTACTCAATTGCCAACCACCAAACCTCGACCCCCTAGCCAGATATTGATATTTTGTTGTACTTTTATTTTTGCTAGAGTCTTGATTCTAACTCTAGTTGTTTTTGTTATTATAGTTTGGGTTAATTCAAGTATCATTTGGTATCAAAACTAGTCTAACCACAGTCATATTCTAGGGTTTTCTAGCATCCCCCCCCCCTTCCCCCCCCCCCCCCTCTCCCTCCCAAACAACAAATTTTCTTTCATATCCCAACCTCCCCTTTCAATCCCAAACTCTAATTATGTCACCATGAAGATACGTCTTGGAACCTACCCGAGAGGTGATACAATGAGAGCTTTGTTTGCTTCAACAGAAGCTCGCAGAGATTGATGATGAAACCCAGGGAGAGATTACCGTTGACCGCGATCTGGAAATTCAAAGTGGAGATAAGGACGAGGATTTGAATCCATTCCACAAGGAAGACATCAATAATGAGGAATACAGGCTCTGCTGCTTCTAGGTTCAATATCAGAGGAGAATGAGAGAGGAGCCCACATATGGAGGACACAAGAAATTCAACATCAAGATGGACATACCAAAGTTCGATGGAGGTATTGATACAGACGAATTTATCGATTGGTTGCATTCTTTTAAGAGAATCTTCGAATATAAGTGTCAAAGGATAAACGGGTAAGCTATTAAATTGAAGAAGAGTGTCTCTTGTGGTGGAAAAACTTGCAAAGAAAGAAGAAGAAGAAGAAAGACGGTGATAAGATTACCAAGTAGGAAAAGATGAGAAAAGAGATGCAAAAGAAATATCTTCCACCTAATTACTGTCAATGACAAGTTTTTGTGACTCTACCACCTACAGCAGAGAGACCTATCAGTGGAGTTCACGGTACAATTCGACCAGTTGCAGATGATGTGTGACTTGGTTAAACCAGTGCAGCACACCAAAGACCATTACTTCGGGGGTTTGAAGCCCGTTATTAGCAATGTTGTGCAGTTACAGCTATATTGATCACTAGGGGGTGTCCAAACCTTAAGTCTTGAATGTGAAAAGACAATAAAAATAGAGCAGGCAACAATCCTCATTCAGATAGCAGTCCTCAGTCAGCTGACCAACGAGGCTACGTTTAGAGGATTTGCAACACAAGACGGGGTAGTGAAGACAGTTCTGAGTGGAAAGAAGTCGAAAAGAGGTAGCTCACTCAGTATAGTGCCTCCCATGAGATGTTTCATATGCCACTGCTACGGACACGGCCTTCAGTTGTCCCATTAGTCAAGTTGTTTCAATAATAGATCAGGGCATCGTCGAGGAAATGGAGGAAGAGGAATCAGAGGATAGTCCAAAAGAAAGAACTTCGGCTTCAGGGTGACGAGAAAGAGATGTTAATTATAAGGAGAGTTCTACAATCAGAGCTAAAGAGAGATCAGTCGCGCGGTATCTTTCACACCGTGTACGATGAAGGGTAAAGTTTGTAGTTTGATCATCGACGGTGAAAGTTGTGAAAATGTCGTGTCCACGTTGATTGTGAATAAATTAGGATTAGCCACACAAAAACACCCTCAGTCTTATTCCCTTACCTGGTCGAAGAGGGGAGACGAGATACGTGTAAATCCGCAGTACTTGGTTGAATTTTCAATTCAAAATTACTTAGAGGAGCAAGTGTGGTGCGAAGTGATTCTGATGGACGCGTGTTATATTTTGTTGGGGAGACATTGACAGTTTGACACACAATGGCTTCAATAATACTTAAATCTTTTAACGGTAGGAAAATGCATCATTTTGTTACCTGTTAAGGATGCGAGAGGTGTAGATGACACAGAGGAGATGTTAATTTCAAGGGCCACCTTCATGCAAATAGTTCAAGATGCTCCAATGGCACTACATTAGTTCTACTAGAGGGAATTGAGGAGGAGAGTAAGATAACAGCACCCGCTATAGCCACTGCTGCATTAATTTCAGGATGTCATAGGATGTCATGATTGATGGTCTTCCTGAGGGATTACCTCCACTGAGAGACATTTAGCATACCATAGATCTCATATTCGCATCAGTGTTGCCAAACTGGTCTACTACATATTGAGACATGCGGAGTAAGAGGAGTTGCAGCGACAGGCACAGGATCTCATCACTAGAGGGTTGGTCAGAGAGATTACCAGTTCCTGTGATGTCCCGCCTTGATGGTACCCAAAAAGGACAGTTCATGGCGGATGTGCATTGATAGTAAATCCATCAATAAGATTACGATCAAGTACCGATTCCCAATACCTCGCCCAGATGATCTCTTGGTTCAGTTGCACGGAGTCACCCTCTTTCCCGAAATTGACTTACATCGGCTCGGAATGAAGCTAGAAGACGAGTGGAAGACCACTTTTAAGACACGAGATGAATTATGCAAGTGGATAGTTATGCCCTTCGGATTGTCTAACACGCTCAACAATTTCATGAGGTTGATGAATCAGGTGTTCCAGACCTACAATGAAAAATTTATGGTTGTATACTTAGACGACATTTTGGTATACAGCCGATCTGAGGAGGAGCACTTACAGCGCCTGAAAACGGTATTCGGGGTGTTGCGAGCAAAAAAGCTATATGCCCATCCAAAGAAGTGTCGCTTTATGGAAGCGCAACTTGTTTTTTGGGTTATATCATGTCTAGTGCAGGCATTCAGATGGATCCTACGAAGATTGAGGCCATTGTGAGTTGGACTGCATCGCAGTTGTTCACCAAGCCGAGATGGTTTCTAGGATTAATGTCATTTTACAGGCGATTCTTCATGAGCTTTAGTACCATCACCACTTTTCTGACAGACCTTTTGGAGGGAGAGAAATTCGAGTAGACGAAGGCAGCTTGGAATAGTTTTGATGCACTAAAGGAGATGGTGAACCAGGCTCCGTTCTTCGCATTACAATGTTTCAATCAATTGTTGGAAATAGATTGTGATACCTCCGGCGTGGAGATAGGAGCAGCGTTGAGTCAGGGCGATCACCCCATCGCCTTTTGCACTTAAAAGCTAAATGCATTCAAGAGATATTTTGACGTACGACAAGAAATTTTATGTTATTGTGAGAGCTATTGAGCACTAAAGCCTTTACCAACTGACAAGCGAGTTAGCATTGTTCACTTATCACAAGGTCATAAAATTTTTAAACCATAGCAAAATAAAGGGCCGACACACAACTTGTGAGGAGTCCTTTGCGTTGTTCAAGTTCATGCTTAAGCATAAGGCGGGAAGTCAAAATCGTGCGACAGATACACTGAGCTGTCGTCACTTGTTGATCACTGCAATGCAAACCTGAGTCATAGGCTTTGACTTAGTAAAGAAGTTATACAAGACAAATGAGGATTTCCGGAAAATTTGAGAACAACATCATAAGAAACTTACCGGGCAGCACTGAAAAGCTAATGGTTACTTGTTCTATCTGAGTAAGTTGTGCATTCCTAGATGTTCGCTAAGGAAGCTCATTGTTCAGGAAAGCCACAGTAGAGGACTTGCAGAGCATTTTGATAGGGTCAAGACTCACACTCATAAGAATTTTTTTTTTTGTCCCTAATTAGCGAGAGATGTGGAGCAACACATCAGGCAAAGTCGAATTAAGCATGTGGCAAAAA